ATATTTATTTATCCTATTTTCCATAATTTTAATTACAGGGAAGTTTTGTACAAAGACATGTTTTGTGAAATGAAGCGAAGCGATTTAATATCCTTTTCCGAAGGGTCTGTCTCGTCGCTTATTTTACAGATTTGGTGTCGATTCTTGAATGCCGAGGAAAAGCATCGAAGCAAGTCAGATGTCTATCGAGTTTTCCTTAACACGAATCCTTTTGTATGTAACCTCTTTACATTATTCATGTACTTTAGTGTATAATAGTGGAGATATTCAAATGTGACACTGACATAAACTTTACATTATTCATGTAGGCTGAGTTTGTAAAGATCAGTTTATATGACGATGCTCATGAAACATTTTGTGAAGTCGTTGACAGAGAATTGGTAGAACAACAGTTTTATGGCGGCATTGATATGTGTACTGCAGATTTGGTCAGCTACATGGAATTGTTTGTTTTTAGTGTTTTGTATCTAATGTATTCATTTATTCTGATATCATTTCTCTTCTTATTTTACTGCAGGTATTCTTCTTGGTTGCTGATGAAACAGACAAGGATGATGTTTATATAGTCTGTTTTAACATGAAAAAGGAGAAGATAACCATCATTGATTCAATTGAAGATAAAACTAAGGTGTATGATACATGTGTTGAATGTTTGGTAAGATCCTTTTTTAAAGCGTGGTAATACTGACTTAAGCTTGAACTTCATTGTTTATTCTTCAACTTAATCTAATATAGTCTCACTGACTTCCAGAAAAAGGGAATGTGCGAGTTTTTCAATGAAAAACAACTTGAGCAAAAAGCAAGTAAAATTTCCAAATTTCCTTTTGAAATAACAAAGAAGGCATGTTATGGGAACATGGAAGGTATGGGTGTTGGTGTCATAGCCATGAGGCAATTGGAAACTTTCAAGGGGAATTTGAATACGTGGAAGATGGATTTGAACAAAAATGATGTAAGTCTTATGTCTTTTTTGTTTATAAGGTGAAATAAGATAAAATTATCACACATTTTATCTT